ACAGTGCTAGTATGGGGCTCTGATTTTGGATTTGTGCTGAAAACACTGTTCATAATACAGGGATATTTCTGTTATTGTTGAGCAGTGCTGACAGAGTCGAGGCCTTTTCTGCTTCTCACACCACCTCACCAGCACCATCAGTGCTCCGCAAGGGTGAACAGTCATGCAGCAGAACGGTTGGCACAAGGGCTTAATACATGCACCCAGCAGTCAATCAAAAATTTCACATGAAGCCTTAAGGGAAACATCATCTGATTGCAGAAAATCAGCACGCCCAAGAGGAAATTTCACAATGCCTTAGCAAAGATCGATTCAATTACACAAAAGGAACACAAAAAGCAGGAAACTGCAAGAACAAATGAAAAATACTAGTTTTCATTCTGTTAACACAGTACAGGTGACCGAACTGCAACATTTATTAGCAAGGCATGCAAGACTCTCCCTCAGTCTATGTCAATTTTACTTATATTCCTATAGATACATACACATACAGTTTTGTTTCCTTCTCTCTTACTCTGCGCACACATATTTTTCAGAGATAAACCTGAAGGATTCTTTAGCAGAAAGTTTCCAGCCATGGTAAACTACTCTAGAGAAGTCACCTTACATAAAAGATAGTTTTATGGTGAATGCAAATTTCCCTTCATGTCAAGTTCTTTCAACATTAAGGCACGTACTTGCACATTTCATGCTACTGAAGGTTTTAGTACTCGCATATCAGCCATGAACACAGAAATTGTGAGAACAGATTCTCATGAATAGGCCTCATAACCAGAAAAACTTCCTTGTGATTTGAGAGAGTCAAAGTTGTGGTCCTTCCTCCCAAAATACTTTCTGTGTATTTCTCTATTTAGCTATAAATTGTAAAATGTTTTAAATCCTCTGGAACAGGAAACAAAATTAGATAGCATACTAATCTGACTACAACTTCTCTATAGAATCAATCCAGTCCAAAAAAAAACAAGGAGCAAGTGCAGAAGCAGACATTCTTATAAAAGTCTCTCACCACTCACAGAAATAAAAAATATGAAACACGGACAGCACATATGGTATGTCACATACAGAGAGATCTCATCAATGTGTACGAACACCTAAAAGGAGAGTGCCAAGGCGATGGAGCCAGATGATTTTGAGTGGTGCCCAGTGACAGGATGGGGCAATGGGCACAAACTGAAACACACCAGGTTCCTTCTGAACATCAGGAAATGTTTTTCACTGTGAGGATGAATGAGCACTGGCACATGTTGCCCAGAGAGGTTGTAGAGTCTCCATCCCTCAAGATACTCAAAAGCCACTTGGAAATGGTCCTGGGCAACTTGCTCTGGGCAACCTTGCTTGAGCAGGGGGTTGGACCAGAAGACTTCCAGAGATGATCTCCAACATCAACCATTCTGTGATTCTAAACCACTCACACAATCACTCATGCATGCATCTCAGTTTCAGAGGAACTGGCTTACAGGTCAAAGTATACAAGAGTGAGACAAGAAAAGAAAGACTTTTCTCTGAAATAGCACCAACAATGCACAGGCATACATATTTTTAATCACTAATAAAATCCAACTGTTCCATCTGACTTGGAAGATTAGGTAGAGCATTTGCTGACAGCTTGCAAACAAACATTTTTAAATACTTAATCAAACACTACATACAGCTGGCTCTTAATTTTCAATAGGTTTCTTAAATCATTGCTTATTCCGCTGTTTACAGTCCTTCAAAAGTCAATGAGTGATGAGTACTAAATTCACACAGCAGCATCATACATAGACACAGTAACATACAACTAGTGGGTCAGTTACACCTATAAAGGAGGCTTATGTGTTTTATTTAAAGACTGTTTGGAATGCAGATGCTTTATTAGCACATAAGAACTCTCATCATCCTTGGCCTGATGCGTTAGAAGTTTGAGAGAATGTTTAATGTCAATTTTTGCTGTGAAAATGCCAAGCAGACAGGCTGGAAAAGGATCTTTTATATATATATATAATATATATATACACACAAAATAATTCCCAAATATGTTGAGAAAAGCTCAGGGAAACTTAAAAAGCAGGTAGAGGAACTTTTATTAGCAATCTTTACATTTTGGCAAACACAGGTGAAAGGAATATCGTAAGTAAAACCAGTAGTGTTCTGAAACAACACTGGTGTTAGAAACTCCTTTTTTCCCCTGCTTTTTACAATTTTTCAAGCCCTTGCTACATGTGGTTGATGCATCCCCTAAACTGCCCTACTCTCAACTCTTTAGTCTCATATGTCAGTGAACTGAGATAGAAACATGCAACTTGTCCTGGAAGAGACTGCTGCTTGGTTCCTAAAACCAGTAAATGAGCATAATCTGGATACCAATACTACCTTCTGTGCTTCATAATAGGTTTTCAGAGTTTTCACTAAGCCAGGGTTTGCTTACATCGTTGCAGCCTTACGATAATAAATCAGGGTGCTGTGTAACTTAGAAACTGTCAATAGCTACTCTCTAACCTACGACTTCAGGTAGTTCCAACTAGACAGTACTAGAGGTGTCATGTCCAGTCTTGATGACAAACTCACTCTGATAAGTCACATAGTTCTTATGAAAATTTGTTCTTTTAACCCTTCTGGATTCACAAGGAGGAGGAGGGAAATAGTCATGTAATCTAGGAACAAAACCCCAAAATCCGCTGAAATACTTGTATTTCCTCCTTTTTTTCTATTTTTTTTTTTTTACAAGGAAAATATGGGAATGTGTACATTGCATACATATTTGGACAGTGTGTAAATCAAATCTGTAAAGGTTATAAAGCCTGTATTAGAAAATTCTATTCTATTTGAAATTTATAAACTTGGATTTCAAAACCAAGATAGGATTTTGGAGTAAAGCCACTGTCTCCTGTCAAAACAACCTCCTTCCCTCAAAAAAAACCCTTTATTAACATGTAAGCAGATGGTCAAAGGTATTGATTTGAACAGTAATAAAGAAATACAGCTTCAGGTGTGTCTTAGTTGTTAAACTTTACTGAAGAAATAACTCCTCTTTGGTTTCTCACTTGGTTGCCTGAGACACTAATTCTCAGCTCAAAAGATTATCTCACACTTCACTAGCTTTGGTACCTTAGTATAATCATCTGCTGTGAACTTTTTCTGCACTTCACAGATACACTGCAGGGAACAGAGCAGTCATAAAAGATTTTTTTTTAAAAAAGCTATAAAAGGCCACAGCTAGCTTCATCATAATAGCTACTGTTTTCTTTAGATTTCAGACACACTTTCCCAAATTTTATTTTAAGTATTATTCAGGGTGAATATAGATAAGAAGCTAGAGATAGATTATTTTTTCCTATTCTCTTGAGGCAATTTCACAAGTCCTTGCAAGGTCAGTCACTGCACATAAAAGACAATAAATCTTCTCTTTAACTGTGATTAACGCTATTTGATCTTCAGACAACATACTTTAAAAAACTCATGTTGTAAGTATATAGTAAACATACTACCATACGCTCAAGGAAACATGTATCTATGTTCACCTGTAACAGTCTATGCCCTAGTCAAGTTAGTTACGTTTTAAATCTTAAGCTGTATAAACATTATTTCTAAATATGTTTTGATATACTAATAAATTTCTTTTTGTCTTGCCCTGCTGATAGAGGAGTTGAGTTTAGTCACACCGAAGCAGGACAGACAACCTACGCTATGATGGAGTAATCAACTTTGAAGACTCACTGTCACCCTCCCATTTATTTAATAGCTGTGAGAGTACAGAATTATTCAGCCCTTTGGCAGACATACTATTTTTCTGAACTGTATATATTTTAACATAAATTTAAATTATAAAATTATAAACTATATCTAAAAATATACAACTATAAATTACGTTATAAAATTATAAATTAATTTTATATAATTTTAACTATAAATTTTATAAATACATAAACAATGATGTACTAGTACACTGAACAACAAAAAATTCTCCCTGTTTACCACCAGATATTCGATACCAGAAGTACTCTGAAGACCTAAGAGCACCATCAAAGCTCCTCTTGGCATAAAAACCAGAAGGCAGTATAAATTAGAATTGACTGATTAAAAGACCCAAATTTTCAGGGTCATTTGAAGGAAATAGGGATTCATAGTTGCAATTACAATTTGTTCAAAATGTATATAAAGAGTTCATTGTCAAACAGGAATTTAATCAGTTATATACTTTTTTTTGTGTATACAAATGCTGGATTTCTTGTTTTAGTGAGGAATTTGAGGCCAAATATTTTTCTAATGGAAAGCAGATTTGCTGAAACCTAGAATTTATTTTTAAAAAAAGAAGATTCAATTACATTTGTAGTAATAGAAGAAAAAGGGTTTTGATTAAATGTAGAAAGCCTAAATTCCATTCCAAAATAATTAATAGTCTAATTATGATATATGGAATCTCTGTGATATGACATAGTAACTTCATATGGGTGTCCCATGTTCCAGGTGAGATCCCCAACTCCGTGGTATTAGGTTTTTGGGGTTTGTTTGATTTTGATGTGGGGGTTGGTTTTTTTCTGAACCTCCAATGGAGTCTCCTGTAGGAGCTGCTCCAGGGCTTAAGTTTCCATGTGGAAAGCTTTTTCTAAAACAGCTTGGATTTAAAAATAAATAAATAAAGAAATTATTCCTTTCTATTTCCATTAGCAAAAAAAAAAAAAAATCACAAAATGAAAACCCCAAAGAAGCTGATGATCACTTCATTCTAATAACTGTTACTGCAAGACTGATATCCCAACACCCCCTCTCAGATTTTATATTTAGTGAAAATTCTTCCAATATCTTTTTGTTGTCTTCTCTTTTCAAAGTCATCATTATTATAGGTATCTCTGAGCTCTTCAACTTCTAGAGCTAAGGCTTGACCAGCACCAAATAGAGAGAAATAACCACCATAACTCCTATACAGTAACTCTGTTAATACATTCCAGGATGACTTCTGGCTCTTCTGGAACAGCAGCACATTGTTTGTTTGGACTGCGGTGTGCTGTTACCCTTTTCAGGGTGATGCTTCGTTTTCTGAGCAGAACACTGCAACTAACAAGACATTCATTCAGTCCACTGGGGAGACAACCGTGTTCAGCCAGAGCAAAAAAGCCAACGTTGACTTTATTCACCAAGAAACCATGCTGTCTATGTGATCAAGCAAAAAAAGTGCTTGAGCCATATAAGAGAAGGTTTATTTTGCAGGAGGTCGATATTACTCTATCAGAGAACTTGGCACTGTTGCACAGCTAATTATTCTTCATCTTCTCACTTGCACTTGTCTATGTTCATCTTATTCATCACAAAACTTCAGTAAGATCACTTTGAATTTCCAATCTGTACTCCAAGTGCTTGCTCCTCCTTGCATGGTAACACCCTTTTAAGTTTTAATAATTATCTTTTCTATCACAGGGGGTACTAATGAAAACTGTACTAAGACTCAACCCATAATGAATGTCCTTCCAATTTCACTATAAAAGACAAAAGACATTATCATCTCAGCATCTTGTGCATTTACCTCTTGGTGATTTGCTTCTGAAACGTATAGAAGTCAAAGTAAGAAACCTCTCTGAAGTCAAAACGTACCACAGCTGCTGCTTCCCACCTACCTATCAGTCCATGAAAACGTTACATCAATTTGACACAGTTTGTTCTTGAAAATCCATATTGGCTGTTTCTTAAATCCTTATTAATCCCTACATTAAATGGATATCAGAACAAACTATTGAAAGTTTGTAAAAGCGTTCATGTCAATTACATAGCTATAGTCCACTTTTTACTGTGACAAACAAAGATTTTTGGTTTCCTCTCCCATTTTGCAGCTCACCTGTACCTTCTTTGACCTTCCTCTTTTAAGGCGAACTTAAGAAAACTATTTATTATGCATTTTGATTGAGAGGTCTGAGTTTTACCCTATACACTCATGCTATTCCTTTCCACTTATTTTTTACAGCACAGGTAGACATCAAACCTCATGCATCCAGTTGGATCCATGCCAAGTACAATTATCAACACTTGACTTCAAAACTTCTATCTTGAAAAATCAATATTCATAGCACTATATTATGGATTCTAAGCAGATAGTATCAATGAAAACTATTTAGTCACATTTACTGAACAATTCTGAAGGCTTGGAAGAGTATGCAAATATAAAGGACATCTAAATGCAAAAAATCAGATGCAGCCTTTAATGAATGCATCCCTTAATGTTGCACAATAATTTCAAAGTAGTGTTTGTTTAGGCTAGATAGCCTAATAAGATTTTATTTCTTCAACTGCTGTAATTTAATTTTATGGAAAATTATCTCCAAAGCCAGCACCCAAAACAAAATTAAACACACAAAAGTTCTATATAATCAGAATAAAACCGTTTCGAGAAAAGCAATTACCTAAATAGTTCAGTTTCACTGTATAAAGGACTCAGTGGGTTTTTCTTCTGTCTGTGTATTTCCCGGGTAGCACAGAGTGGCACAGGGGCCAGAGCACAGCGGGGGCTGAGCTGTGGCTCACAGTAAGTTTGGTCCTTGTTTCCCTAGGCCCTTATCTTCGATAAATTAAAAAAAAAAAAAAGTCACCACCAAAACAACCTCCTCCACCAGGAAGGCAACAGTCAACTGTCTACGAACAAACTCACAGACCCCCTTTGGCACTGTCTCGCAGCCCTGATGGAGATATTATGTACAATTCAGATGAGGTGGGCACGCAAGGAAGGTTTCCCATCCCTTTTAGTTCTCAGGCAAGACGTAGCCAGTATCACAGCCTGGCCTAGCGACAGCACAGAATTAACATCTTTGTTGTGCAAAGTTGGCTGTTTCCTTCTCTTTGCATTTAATATCAATAGAACATATTCCAAGATTTGTAACCACGAAAAAAACAGAGGAGGGAGGGGAATGGCAATGGAGTGGCTGCATAAATAACTTGGCTCTTTATAAATGCCACATATATGAAAAATAAACAAAACACTAATTAAAATATTTACATTTTCCTCCTAATTTTTCCAAAAGTTGAACATGAGAAAGAGCAAAGCTGCAGTATAATCTGGGCTAAAATCTTTTTTCAGTGACAAAGGTTTCAGAAAAGATATTCCACACAGTTTTTCAGAGATATATCCCTAGTGTGAACATTTCATTTTCTCCGATCATCATAATATCTGCATGCTTAATTCAGTACTCACAACAGCAGATTGGTTTCTGAAAGTGGGAAAGTAACGGCCTACATAGTGAAGGCATTCTAATCCCTTGCCACTAAAAAAATGAATAAACTGACCAATTTTGAAGCTGAGCTGTTTCATTACACGGTAATGAAGCTTTGAATTTTGTCAACCAACACATAGCATGGGGACCTACCAAGCAGTTAAAGGCAAGGAGAATTTTATAGGCATTTTCTTAAATTAATCAAATGATTCTGCAAAGATATACAGATGTCCAAAATTATTATATGTAAGTGAAAAAATTTTCAAGCTATGTAGAGCTGCATCTGAAATTGGCTCACTTTGAAACTATAAATACAAAAAGCACAAAGTAGTAGAATGATTTCACTACCTGAATTAAGAAGCTTCACATTATTCCTATGTGATAAAGTCTATTTAAATACCAATAAAATCATAAAACTTCATTTATTTTACCTTATGTTTAGAGACAAAACTGCTTCAGAAAAATCTACCATTATTTTTTAAAACATAGTGCAGCTTTTTGTGTAACGCCAGCTATTACAGGTTTTTTTTTCCCCTCAAAATTCAGAGAACAACAACAAAAAAACCCAAAAAGCCTACACCTACATACTTTGAACAACTTCACCCATGCTCTCTATGTATCTTAGAATTTTAACATTCATTACTGTCAGACTTTTCAGTATTGAACCCAGTGTCACTCGATAGACAGAGAGGTTGCCTCCTCTTCCTCCCATGAACCAGGTTTGAAGGTATCTTTCTATTCTCTATGACAAAGTATCAACAAATTAATTCTATCCCATGGCTCCATAAATATAATTAAGATGCTTCCATTTGGCAGAAGATACAAACATTTCTGCAGCAAGGCAGAGAAGACACCTGTTTAAATCTGCTTACAATTTCAGAATGAAGACAGCATCCCATATGTGATGGGCATTCTGATGCTTCTCTGGGAAACATTACGTTATCTGTCCCACCTTGTTTTATGAAACTATCCTATTTACAGATCTGTTTGCCTTGTATTTCTTCATTTGCTCATTTTAATCTTGGTATATAGCACTAGCAACTTACATTTTTGTTTTGAAGTTCAATGGCTACCTCCATGCATAATCGCGTCAACACTTTTACTCAAGTCTCCACATTTTCAGGTTTGTCATATAGACAAGTGAGAGGACACTTAATGTTCCGGTCTCCCAGAATACTTAAGCTTTTCCCAAACTTAGTTGCCTCTGATTACATCGCTTGCTGCCTTTGCTTTCTTTCTTTCATTAATTTCTGATATCTGCTGCATGGCTTACTGAACAATAACACATGCTCTCTGACCTCCTGCTCTCTCCTGCAACCTTTTCAAGTACACTTAGCAAAAAAAACCTCATTTGTTTGTAGGTTTCCTCTGGGATAATTACATTATATTTGGCAGAAGTGTGAATACTCACTCAAGGCTAAATGTTGTTTGTGCCACAGAGTGAAATTGAGTTTCACCTGAATATATTTGATCATGCACCTGTAAAAGATAGATGTATTCTGATTTCTATGTATCAAATGCGGTTAAGAATACATATTATTACACCATTAAAAAAATACCTTGCACATACACAAGCAGTATATTTTTCATTTATTCCTTTTGCATGTTCAAAGATTGCAGCGATTCTCCCAGTTATCCCACAACTTTCATTAAGAGTTTGTGATGCTGTAAACTTTAAGATGTTTATATCGACTTTTAGACTAGAGATGGAGATTTGTGCGGGTTTGAGCTTCTGTCTCAAAGGGGCAGTGTGAGTTCTTTAAAAATCATGAGTGGCTCAACAAGTTTAGCAGCAATATGAAATGTTCTGAGAAACATAGAGGAAAATTATCGCTTAGGAAGGGATAGGCAAGACTGTGGCTCTGCTTGTTAGTTCAGCAGCCAAACCTCTGAACTGGAAGGGAAGCTCTACAGTCCAATTGAATTTTTCATGTTTTGTCAGTGAAAAAGAGTTTATTTTCGCGTCTTTAATAAAGTATGTCATTTAATCAGAAAAACATTTTTAAAAAACAGGTACACACAGACAAGGTTTCATTGCAAGCACTTGTGAGAAAACTAGACCTTCAGTTTCAGTCACATTTTCATCTCCCCTTTGAGTTTCATTCTTCCCTGTTTTTAACTGGGTGGTGCGCCCCACATTCTTGCAAAACTGCTCATATCACAAACTTTATCTACAGATAGATTTTCTGTTGATAATATGCATAAAAGGAACAAGAGTGTCACGTACTATGTGCTCAACTGCATCCTATGTCTTATTTAAGTGGAAAGCTTTGCTTTTTTAAAAAAAACACAACAATAAACCTGCTCTCCTTTCCATGTGACTACAAAGTCTATTAGCTTGTTTTATTTCCTTATGCTCCTTTAAAATAAGTTGAAATCTGGCTTCTTAAGGGGCATCTATCTCCTCTTTTGTCATTTTGCTCTTCCTAGCAAAAACAGCCCTCGTATATCTGCTTCCCTGAAGCTTTCTAGGGAGCCCTTGGTTAGCAGCTAATACTACCTTGTCACTTTTACCGAGGGTGCAGTTCTGTAGCTGCTGCGTATGCAGAGCTGCCACCAAGTTCAGTGCTGTTCCAGAGCAAGGGCTGCTAACAACGAACAGTGTCCTCAAAGACTGTGGGGTTTTAAACAGATTTATTATATCAGCATGTCACCAAAAACAGAAACACGGAGCCAAATTTTGCTCCTGCCAATTCCCAGAGCTGCAAAACACACGTATCGAGACAGCAAGAAACCAACATACTGAACAAAAACACACAGGCAGAAGATCCTAGGTTTTCTACCATCATGGAACGTAAAAGACAGTTACATATAAATACTTTTGCCAGTGAGGGATCCTCAGTAATAAACCGAGTTTACAACCTCCCAACATACAGACAGTATGCTCTCCTCGTGGTCAGTTTAGAGTCCATAAATAGTTACTGTGCTTCCACAGCTTCAGCTCAAACTTTTATTCAGGGTAGAACACTTCTAGAAGATTTGAATTTATCTCAGCTTCATAATTTCAATGGATTGTTATTGCTATAAACGCTAAAATACTGCTCTACTAAAAGATTAAATATATGCTTATGCTAGAGATTTAAAAAGCACAAAAATCACTCACTCAAGCAAAATCCCTTTGGAACAGAAGATTTTATGATTTTTTTTTTAAATTAGCATTTTGTGTAATATTAATACAGAAAGGATGGTTGTGAATCTTGACCATCAGAGTAGCAAGAGACCATTGACTTCTCTATCACTCTTTCCTGTGTGAAGTAAAATCTAATTCTTAGGGAGTAGGTGCAAAAAGCTTCCCAGTCCTGTCCATACCTCTCCGCACACACTCTAACTGAAACCAATAACAAACTTCCTCCCTAGCTAAGAATCACATTCAAATCTTAAAAAAACTTGTTCAGGTAAGTTATTGTTTCCCTTTAGGAACAGGAAATCATTTCCATCTGTACATAAAGCTGAAGTCTGTTCACCACGATATGAGTTATTCTAAAGTTTTCCAGAAGGAAATGGTCTAAAGAAAAGATAGCAAAGAAAACAAAACTAGAATCTATCTAGGGCAATAAAAGATAATTATATAGCACATACAAAGGGGATGGTATGCGTGGCGTATTTTGACATTTACCACCTTTGCTGTTCTGATACTTTAGCTACACATATTTCTGTCAGATGGTTTACACATCAAAATCATTTCCTGACTGAAGAGGAAAAAATAATAGCTGGAATTATTGTTCATATAATGATTCAATAAGCAGGCTTCTAGGAATCAGCCATAGTGGGAATTTTAAGTGAAACAAAAAAAATGTAACTTTGTATGCAATTGATTCCCCAATGTTACCATGTTCTTCTCCCCTAGCCTCTCTGCAGCAGTTACAAATAAATCAGTCTAGATTCCCACACATAACATGTCTAAAAAGCTAAAGGGAAAGTCGGATAAGCCCTATACCACTAAAATGCTATACAATCAAAGCAGTAATGACAGCAAAAGGACATTATTCAAGCAGTGTCACTATGTCCAAAAGTTCAACAGTGCTACCAGACATACTGCTGAGGAAATTCCCATCAACAGTATGGAATATTTTTTCACACTTCTAAAAGCCACTGCTGCACCATTTGCACTCTGTGCCTCAGGAGTTTTAGTCAAAAGAATGAATTTTGGTTTCCATTCAAGAACCACATCTTAAAACGTAGTTATAAGCAGAGGTTTCACTCT